TAGGTAGCTTGCATGTAATTTACAGCTTTTCTCTCTGCCAGCTGATAGTAAGTTTCTGAATCAGCTCATGGTAATATTTTTATGTTTCTTAGACCCCATGTTCAACATGGTCACAAACAAAATGTTCTTACCCTCAGCTAGCCACATATGTGGAGAGCTGTTCCTATACAAGTAATACTAAATAAGTAAAACTAATCAGTGTATGCCTTGGAAGAGAATTCTTACAAAATGTGCTTGGTCTCTATTTGAAGCCAAGGCACTTAAAAATTTCTATATATAGGAGACTAGGAATGCAGAGTTCTGAATGTGCTAAAAAAAAAAAAATGCCTTCCTCTCATCAGTCTTTCTCAGTTTGCTGCTGGCTGGTAACAGTTCTCAGAAGACTTTCTAGTGATCATAAAAACATTTGCTGAAAAGATCTAAGTTAGATTGATCAAATTTCTTGTGTCTATAGTAAGCAAATTAAGTCATCTTCTCTAGTGAGAGGAAATGTGCCATCTGGGACAAAATGTGGTTTCATTAAAAAAAATGATAAAGATAGATATCACAATTATTTAATCAACTATTGAATTAAAAAAAGTAGTTTGTACATTATTTACATTCTCTTGCACATAGAGCCCAAGTAAACAAAATGAGCATTTTTTTCATTATTCCTAAGTCATAAATTATTTTAGGCAAATAGTTTGGCCATTTCTCAGGATATATTATTCTCCATTTATCCATTCAAATCATGTTTTCTTGTACATTACTAACAGCTATGACTTGTTAACTAGTATTTTGTTTTATTTTCTAGAAAAGCAGTAGAATGCTTTAGTTCTGCAAATAACCTATGCAGGCACCAAACAAATAAAGTAAATACTGTTATTAATATAGCTATGCTGACCTCTTAAAATCACAATACAATTTTTTTTAGTTCATATCCATCATTTTCTTCATACTCTCCTCATTTGCCTTTCGACTTTTCTGTACTGTCTGTGAAGACTTCCATCTCATGCATATACTTAAGTTGCTTGTTCACAAGTGTCACTGTGTGTAGGTGTAGGTGTAGGTGTATGACTCCGCATCATTGCCTAAAGAAAGCTATCATCGGCTCAGCTATTGCCACTTCTCCAGTCACTTTCATTGCCAATCTAAACTCTGTCAATTTCCAGCATCACTGTTCTAAAATGCAATTCTAATCCTGCTCTAAAACTTTCACAGTTCTCTAGTTGCTTTTATAGTAAATGAGTTTTACTCTTTTCCAAAACTTCTCAAAAATAGGGTTAATATGGTTTTTCACTCCTGGCAAATTTATTCATGCATGCATTGCTTTACCTAATATAAGCCCCTTTGGAGCTTTCAAGATTTTGCCTTGAAATCTTATCATTTCTTTCCTTCACTTCTCCATGGCTATTTATCTTACCTCTCCTATTGCATCAGTCTTATAAAGCAATGTATTATGCTGAATTATATGCTTAGGTTTTGTTTTGGTTTTGGTATTTCCTATTTTAGTAGAACTTTGAAGACAAAGATTTCTGTTATCTTTGGCTTTTATTCTCTCAAAGAAGGACTTAAATTTTTAATTAATTTATTCAATTGATTTGAAATCAGGGAATAGCCTACAAATTTTTCTCCATGTGTGAGTCTTGCAATTTCATTCTTTTGGGGATAATTCTTCTTCTAAGAATCTAGTGTGGTTTGTGGTTTAGAGTCATGCTTTAAACTGCCCTTAAGAAGAATGAAAAACAGCTGGTGTCCAAGGAGCTCTGGAAATTAGTCAATAAACTAATTGTAGCACAGAAGCCAAACAAAAAGAAGTTTGACTTGCATATTTTAAGCTCTCTCTATAAATTATTATTTTTAAAAGATATGGTGCTTAGAAATTACATACTTCTACTAATGTGCTTTTTACTAAAATGTTGGACATTTACAAAGAAAATATTATACAACTATAATAAGATTGTCAACACTTTCATGTTCCAATTGCTTCCACTTTATTTAGTCAAGCATACACTAGCATAACCAAGTACTTAGAGAAGGTGAAATTACTTAATCTTAAGGGACTTTTAGAATTTATAAGAAACATCTTTTTTTTAATTTTAGGGACATGGAGTAAGATATTGTAAATGATGAGAAAACTATTAATATAAATTGATACTGAAATTGATGCTATTTATAAACATAACACAATTCATAGGAATTTCAGCTAAATTAATCAAATAATGGCTGACCACTGGCTACATGAAATTTCCACAAAAACAGATGCACAAAGGAGAATAAATGTTCAGTTAGCACCCTCATAGCTTATAATTGAGAAGCTTGTAAGAAATATTTAAGCAACTATACATCAAGTTTGATTTTGATGACATTAATATGATGGACATGAAATATAGAGTGGTTTAAAGGAGACAGCAAATATGGCGGTGAGAGTAAGAATAGTCAATCAAGGACATAAACTTTGATAGAACCCTGGAAGGGTAGGTTTATAAATCATGGGGGTATGTTAAGGGGGAGACATTAGAAGGGGTGGAAATGACATGAGCATAAGGAAAGGCTCAGGGGAGAGAGTTGTGGATTAAAGGCATTGCAGGTCAGACTGTGCCATTAGAAAGGCCCCGCACTGAAGACCATCTTCTGAGGGGTTCCTGTGTGTGATGACATTTCTCACTGATGAGGGTAATTTGAACACATGACAGATGGACATGTCCCTAGTCTTTGAGCTACATAGTAAAGGTTGGAACTGAGTCCACTTTCAGATGTCTCACAATTCAAATCAATGGTGAATAAGTTAAAGTAAGAATTTTCAATTGAGATTTGTATTCCTCATTGGCCCTTAGAATTTCTCCCCCAACTTCCAAGCAACCTGGTACACTTCCCTCAAAGTTTCTCTGAGTCTTCATGAGGGATCCAGGTGAATTATTTCAAATAGTCAGCTTATTCAGAGTCTTTCTAGCTTATGACTTTGCTAAATGGTACATTTTTCTGACTTAACCAATCAATTTTCTCCTGCCTCAGAGCCTTTGCCCTCACTCTTCTTCCTTATGTATGGGATAGTTTTTCTTTATCTGTCAGTGTGGCTCAATCCTTCACTTCCCTCCAGGATACTCTCAGTGAGCTCTTTCCTGATCATCCTATTAAATTTCACAACCTCACCACAATGAGATTCATTTCTCTTTATAACCTTATCAACCTCTAATGATAATGTGATTTACTTATCTTGTTTACTGTCTAGTTCCCCATTCAGAGGACCAAGGATTATCTATTTTTTCATGAATGTATCACCAGTGCTTAGAAGAGTGCCTAACAAATAGTAAATATTGCATGAATAGATACATGTGTGAATGAGCTATATGTATTATATACATAATAATAATTTGAGACAGTCCTGTTGTACTTTTTGGAAATAACTACTTTTCTCATTACCTTTACTGAGTTAAGGTGAATTTATAAAATGCCTGGTATAGATAGTATTGTATCTGGTTATAAAAATATAAATCATATACAATAATTCATATCCTGCATAACAGTGTGATTGTGGCCAGGAAGTATTTCCTAAACTTAAAGTCTAGGTATTATACCTTTCTGTTTCACACAGAATTTCAGGAATAATTTTCTCACAATCACTTTCTAGAAAGTTGGTAACTGTTCCTGATCTTTTATCTTGTACGGGTTATCACTAGTAGCCTTACACAAGAAGTTTACAAAACCCACACAAGCTAATGTTTTTATCATCTATTTAGCTGTTGCCTGTGGTCTAAGTGCTCTACCCCTCAACTCATTTGTTACTTATTGCAATCCTAGGTGGCAAATTCTATTTTAGTTTCATATTACAGATGATGAATATGAAATACAATGAGGTAATGACTACATAAAAGTTATGATCCAGCACTGGGGTTTAAACCCATTCATTTAGATCCCAGAACCTAAATTCTTAACCATAAGACTATATTGCCCCTCAATATAGTCATACATCAGGACTAATCACATCTTCTTTTCCTTTTTCTTTAAAAAACCTTGGCAAAATGCTTTTTCATAGTGTAAAATTGTACTTTCATGAACTATGACTAACTTACATTTGCCAAATCTTTATTTTTCCTGTGACTCTGACATCTGCAATTAGTCAAACTTTAAAAGCAATTTTAAATAATCTCTATTAATTTAAATTCCTACAGAAATTCAGAACTTTAGGTCAGCACTTATAAAAGCTGGTTAGGGGTACCACCATCCCCACCCCAACTTACATATACCATACTCATGGTCTTCATTACCTTAAACCAGTCCAAGTTTTTCTCTTACAAAATCTTGCATAAATTCAAAATCAAAAATAAAGAAACATCTTTTAAAAGACATATATCTTATAGATACCAACTTGGTGGTTTTTTGTTTGTTTGTTTTACTGCTATGAAAAATGATTTACACTTAGCCTATTTTTAAGAGAGAGCAAGGAATGTGTTCATGGCAAGTTGGAACACTGTGCAAAATGTGCTGGCTTCACTGTTATCTGCACGACAAAGCATTAAATCATGAGGAAAAAGCCAGCATGTTCTCTGAAAATACAAATAAATTAGCGTCAGGAAGAGCTTTGTCCAAAAAAGGGAAAAGACATCCCTGGAAAAGACATCCAGAGAGTAAATCATGCACATAAAACCTATAATCTTTGAACGTTATTTGCAAGAAATTTTTTAGTAGATAAATATGACTAATATATAAACAAAGCACAAAAAAGTTTCAAGTGGACCTTTCAACTATGATCACTTAACCTATCCCACTCCTTATCTATGTTTCTTATAAAAGATGTGATTCAACAGTGGTTGTATAATTCACAAAAGAAAATTAGACTCCCCCACCCCTTTTAGTTATTGGATAGAATAGTTTTTAAACAGGCACGTGAAAGTTAAAAGAGTTAAAGTGTCTAAAAAGATACATCTCTTTTAAGATGTAATGACTTGCTGGGTTCTTCCAATGTACAATATATAGAAAGCTTTCTCATTCACAACTCAAAGAAAACAAATTCTTCTTACCATGTATTCCATGTTTGCTGCCGGAGGGAACACTTTGCCCCGTATTTGATTGTGATAATCTAGAATGGCGATCATGTCATTCTGCGAAATGTAGCGCTTCCGCCTGGCTTTGGGGAGATCCGCAGAGTCTAGTTGTGCTTTTAGAGCCGCTTCAATCTCAGTGAAATTATTGGTTGGCGGAGATGAGTCAGTGGAATTGAGTAAGGCGAGGGCACTTGCTTCACAGAGAAGGGAGAGCAGGAGTGCACTGCTGAGGCCACAGATGGCTATCATTTTGAGGGGTGGAGGAGAGGCCACCGAGTGTACTTGGCTTTAAAGCAGAAAGTAGAGTTAGGGTCTAGGAGGGGGGGGGGACAAAAATAGGACCAGAAAGTATGAATTTCCAAAGTCATTACTTGGAACCACTGCTTGATTTGATTTTTTTCCCCAAAGGTCCAAGCAAATTTTGAACTCAAGCCTAGAAGACCACCCAGAGTACTCTCTATACATTTTTACTGGGTGTGACGAAGCTGATGCCCAAGAGAGAAAAATAAATAGCTTGACTACTAACCCCCAAATAAATGTGAATTATTTGCCCCACATTCTGAATCACAGAATGCATTACTGCATATTTATTTTCAAAGGAAAGTATTTAAAATTGAAGTTCATCTTGAGAGTGAAGAGGAAAAATGCATCACAGGTAACAACAGAGAATGTGCTGATAATGTTTCCCAGACATATATGGACACCAAATGATAGAACACAGACAAAAAAGTTATAATAATACAAGCTCACTTCTAAAAAAAAAATTATAAAATGTGAGCTACTTTAAAATCATTGCATGCAAAATAAACTGTTGAGCTAAATAGCTTACCTCTGCACAATGCCAAAATGAATATACTGTTCTTCCAAAAATTTAAAGTTCTTTGCTAGGTTGTAGCATGAACCCTTGTAAGAGGAGTGTGTCTTACTACAAACTCTCAGAGAGCAAAACTCTGCAAGGTTTGAATGCTGCTGGCTACAGGAGCAGCTAACAGCTTTTATATGTCACAGTCGGTAACGTCCAGAAAGGGCAGTCTTTCTTAGGGTCTCTCCTAGCCAAGATCAAAGGGGAGGGGTTTGGGATAGAAAAAAAAACAGTGATTGGGTGGCAACCTTTTTAATGTGGGTGGTGAGGAAATTGAGTCACACCCACAGCTTACAAAGTACAAACCATAAAAGACAAACCCCCTTGTTTCTGGGCTTCTACCTTCTCTGCAAGTGGTTAATTTTTCTCCTTAATTTCCTGGTTCCCATACAAAAAGAAAAAAAAAAGTTGAGTTCTTGAAAACACAGAGACTGAGTAACAAGCAGTACATTTTTTTTAAGATAGTAAATGACATGGGAGCTGAAAAGAGCAAGCTGATATTAAATCACAAGATCAGCTCACAGATTTAATCTGGGTGGCCACAAATATGATTCAAGAGAGATGCCAGGCAAATCAGTAGTAGCCAAACTATAGCATATGATATTAGGATAATAGATGCTCAAGTGGTTGTACTTTCTGTCTCCATGTGGCTTTTCCCTCTTTTATGTATTTATTCTCTCTTTCTCTTGTTCTGCCTCCACCTCCCTTTCAGTATAGAGTGAAGCAGCAAATTACTTGCCTTTCACCTGCCTTGCGTAAAATGCAAATAGAGAAGCTCATGACAAATGATAGTAGCCAAGATAACATCTGTTTCAGGTTTAAGAGCATATAGTTGTAATTTTAAGCAGAGAATGGCTCAGTCTCTCAGGAAGTGTATTGGAGGGCACAGCGCAGAGGCCATGAAGAATTTTAACAGCCGCCAACAGTAAGTTCCTTCTTAGAAAGATGCCACTGGAGCAGAATGTATGTCTAGTCAGACAAAAGCCAAGAATGAGAATATCAGGGCAATCTGTAAGGAAACAACCCTCAAAACTGCCATGTGTCATGATAACAGTCACAAAACATGAACTGTCAGTCAGTGGCATTGGGAATCCTGGAAAATACAAATATTCAGTTGAGAAGCTTACTAACATAAACCAACTTGTCCAGTTTGCCAATGTGATGCCTACTGCATGTCTCGGCAGGAGGAGTACTACGTGAATTTATAGTCGTCAGAAATGATGGTCATGTGGTTAGAAAGAAGCACAGTGGACTGGGAGCCAAGTTTCCTGGGCTCTATTCCCAGTTGGGTCTCCAGCAGTATGTGTGGCCTCGTGAGTATTGTTTAACTCTTCATTGGTGCATCTAAAAATATGCATATCTATGACAAATTGACTTCATCAAATTCCATATGAGAGCAGTAAGGTGTTTGAAATCGAAGTACCACTGAAGTTCAATGTACACCAATGAGATGCAATCTTAGATGTTGATAATGTGTCAAAATTCAGGTTTTGTTGTATTTTGAAGAGTATTCAGGTCCTAACAAAAGTGAAGTCATTTCGGAGAGCTTAATTTGCAAAACTGAAAGCTGTAAACTTGAAGTAATTAACACTGTAAAATTGAAAAGGCAAGAACATAGGAGGACAGAAGGCAAGCAAGAATGGTATAAAACAGAGCAGCTTGAGGAAAGGCACGTGGCTGTTCACAGCTGCAGTTATTTAACAACTGGAGCTGTCCAGCTAGGGTCTCACCCTTTCAGAAAGTACTCTGGTGCCTTAAATGAATTTCAAGGATGTTATGTTAAGGATTCCTGAATTGACTAGGAGGTCAGACAACATACTCTCTGAACTGTGCAAGTCAGATTACTAGGACCATTTGAGAAATTTTTGCCAGCACTGATTAGCCTGTATTTTTCAACATATCTCATATAGCTGCCCAGCATCTAGGGACTAATGGATTTTTAATGCTTAAAACTTTCTTTATCCAAGGTGCCTGAGTTCTAGCTTAGACCATCATAAAAATCAACTGTGCCTTTCAAGGTTACTTTCTTTGTTGTGTATACATTGAGATAATGTTCATTTCTTGAAGTTTGACCTCAGGGATAAAAATGCATTCCTTGAGAAACTTGACTGACCCATAAATGAGTTTCCTCTAAGAGAGTAGAGGCATTATTTGGAAGAAAATGAAAGAAGGAATTTCTGAGATGGACCTAAATAGGAGATTGCCTCTTTAAGTTCAATTACATGGGGTCAGAGCCAATAGTTGCTTAGTCCTGAGACCCCGAGGCATGTCAGTGATTTCAGATGTCTTTCAACACACATGTATTGTATTGTGGAATGTCAGGCTATTAAGGAAATCCACAAGGCTGTGGAATCATAAAAGCAAAGACCTGTGGGAGGAGAGTTAAGAATTCTTTTTCCAAGCATACGTTATTGCCAGAAGTATTTGAAATGCTTTGGAAGTAATTTTAATTTTATAAAAAACTTGCAAAATTTAGAGGCCCACATCCAAGCTGTCAGCAAGAGAACTATTAATGAACAACTAACAATGAGGTGGTTCTTTATGAGATCTCTCCTTGAAAAAGACAACTGACATATTTAGAAACCTTTAGGGCAATGCTTGCCAACAGAGAAATGGAATGCAGTTATATTACTAAAAAGAATAAGTATGTAATTGGCAGTAATAATTGACTACCTTGAAGCCTGTGTGAAAATGATTGTGATTTTACAATTGAAATAATGTACATTATAAGTGCCCCAGAATGGTACACCTGTTTAAACATAAGTACTTTGTATGTGTGTGTCTGTGTCCATGTGTGTGTATACAGATATGCATGTGGTTTTAATCTGAATCATCTCTAATCAGAATGTGTTCAGTGTACTAGTCAGATTGAATATCACTTGGAGCTTGTTAGAAATGCTGAATTTTAGGCCCCATACTAGACCTATGTAATCAGAATCTGCATTTCAGGATCCTCGGATCAGTTTGTATGCTCATTAAAAATTTGATGTACTATCCAAACCATTTTTTTTCCAGAGGAAGAGATAAGCCCACTGTGTATATGTATATTTAATAAGCTTTTGTAAACATCCATTTATCTACTAATATGGGGAAGAATCAGACAATATTATATACTAGTGTTTGAAGAGGGGAATCCAAGTAGTCTTTATTTTAAAAGGAAGAAAAGATCAAAGTAGGGAAAGGTAATACAGGGAAAAGTACCTCCATTTGAAGAATACTATATAAACCCTATTTGTTATTTAATTTGTATTAAATTTTTCACAAGACGATTGAAACAATAGAATGCTATACACCTGAAATTATTTTTAAATTGTGGAAGTCCACATAAATAGAAACTATAATTTTACTCTGTCATCCCCAAAACAATAGCCCAAATCATCCTTTATTCCTCATTCTTTCTTACCTTGTTTCATACATGCACTAACTCCTTAAAACATGTGAGTTTTTATCTCTGAAATGTCTTGACAACCTAACCCATTTTATTTTAAACATTTTTTAACTGCTTTAAAGTTAACCCCATGATCTTTCTCTAGGATCACTATAGTGTCTCTCTTGTCATTCATTAACCACGTTGCCTTTGCTTACCTTCCTAAAAAGGAAAGAGAATCATTTCATCTATATATCACTGTCTCTCATCGTTTATAGATCAAGTTCAAGTACATTAACCTGCATTACACAGGCCTTGTGAATATAAATCTTCTTAACTTTTAAGCTTTATACACAGAAATCATTACTTTCTATTTATGTACCATGGCCACCTCTTATGCCCCAACCATACTTTAAACGTACTCTTCCCCATCATCTTCAGTAAGTTAACAAACCTGACTATGTGTGTTTACTCATTGGACAGAGTAGTGTTTTGTTTTTATTTTTTTGCCCCGACAATGTAATTATTACAGATAATTATCTATGTTATTATAAAAAACTTAATAAAGAGCAAGATAGCACTGCATTAATTGTGTATGACTTCCTTTAATGATTTTTTACTTAATTATACTATATATAATTTTTTCCTTGACTAAACTAGAACTTTAAGACTTTTCTTCATGTATTTCATCTTATATTACTGATATTTCATACCAGAGTTTATCACTATAGCTATAACTCTTATCTATTCATTAGGATTCATTACAAACTCAATTATACAACCTTTCAGATCCTTTAAAGCCCATTGGATCTATACTCCTTTTAGTAGAAAACAGCACCATTCTCCAGCTGGCCATTTTGCTAACACCAGCACAGATACACCAGCTGTTTGAAGAGTTCCTTCATAGTTGTCCTCCTTCGTGGCCAACAAAGTACATAAGTTGATGAAATCTAGTTAAGTTATGAGTTATGATACCTTTCTTGATCCACCAGACATTTTGGTCTTAAAAACCTTGAGAGTATTTCTGAATGATGTCTAGAGAAATTGAAGAAAGCATGTGCTTGTTTTAAGAATTGGTTTAAAAAATGAAGGGGTGGCTTTATTTTGACTGACCCTAAAGAAACCACACATCAGGATTCTTCAAATTATTAAGAATGGATTTACCATATGACCCAGCAATTCCACTCCTAGGAATGTGCCCAAAGGGTATAAAAACATTACTTTGAAAGGAAATCTATACTCCTATATTTATTACAGCACTAATCACAATAGTTAAAATATGGAAGCAACCTAAATGTCAAAAACAGATTAATGGAGCTGGAAGATAGAATATATATACACGATGGAATATAATTCAGCAATCAAAAAAGATAAGCATGCCAATCACAACAATGTAAGTACAGCTGGAATAGGTTATGCTCAGTGAAATAAGTCAGAAAGAAAAAGAAAAACATCAGATGGTTTCACTCATAGTAGGAATATAAGGAAACCAAACAAAGGGTCAAAAGAAAAAAAGGCAAAGCAAAACTTGCCCATCTAAAGCATGCAGCAGGAAAAGGGGAGGGAGAGGAGTCAAAACGGGGGAGGGAAGAGCAGAAGGGACTATGGTGATGGTACTCATACACTGTTTTTAAAGCAATAGCACAATCCCTGAGGTAAGATTTAAGGCTACCTTCTTTTATCTAGGGTCATGAAATATCTGCACTAAAGAGATACATATTCATTTAAGACCCCTTTCCTCCATTTAACCATAGGAAGATAGCAGCAAAGCCTCAAGCTCAGTAAAACAAGGAGGGTA